TCCAGAAGGTGTTCTAGACGTAGAGAGCAAATCCAAAAGCCGGGAAAAGACTTCCTGATCACTATGAGAAAATGCTGAATAAGGAAAAGGAACCAAAGAACATCGAAAATTACCCATTGAAGTCAAAAATATAGTTTTCTGAGTCATGTGGTCCCACATTGAAACTTCTTCTTTGAATTTTTAGTTGAGCTTCAAAAATTTGTCTGAGAAAAAAAGACGCTCCCAGTATAAAAATTAAAATGTTTGAGCTGCATCTTTAGAAATAGGTATACCTATATCTTACTTATAACTCCAGAAACTTTATCTGTCTAAGATTCAGAATATATCTGTATTCGATTTCGATATAAAGCTGAAGATTTGCAATTTTCAACTTTTTCTGACTGAAGTAGCTTCCAATTTCAGTGAAATCTTCAATTAATTACGAAAGTTCATGCTTCAACATATTTTCAATTTTTGTAAAATTTTTCCAGTCAAGCCTAAATTGTTTGACCTGTAGTACGTATCAGATAAATCTTGTATTTCACCTTGCAAGTGATGCTCCGAATCTTTAACTGTCATGCAGAGCTTTAGCTTCAAAATTATTCACGGTTTTATTAAAACAATGAACATACTTAACTTTGGGATTTAAAACAGATTCATAATTACTTACAGGGCTTATTTGCAAAGATTCTAACTTCTTGTACCATATTTTACTGAAATACTTCATGAGTGGCAGTATTTTCACAAGCTACTTACTTGGCTCAGTCTGGTAGCTAAAATGACAACAAATTACCAAAAAAATTGGCGTTTATTGTATGCGAAATCAAAACTTGCCAAGAATCCCCTGTATAAGCTAACCTTCAACTCAAACTCAAATACTACAAACGATAATATACACACGTCCCAACTAATTAAAAACCGCGAAATAATTTTCATTTTCAGTCGCTTCCCAGCGTCCGTTCAGTAAAGTTGACGCCAGGCTTAAGTGTAGCCTTTAAGTTTAGACTTTAAGTACGTGCGCGAAACACATAATGCGCGTAAGCCGGCAAGTTTTTGAATTTTGAAGAGTTTTTGGAATCTTTTTTAATTATGGCATAAGTGCATAGTTATTTGACTGCAAGCATTCCATTTCAAATTATTAGGAGAAAGAGAACTAGCGAAAGACTGTTTAGTTTAATAAGTTACGATGGGTTTGATTAAGAAAAGTGATATTAGGGCTGTGGATGCTGGTACTTTAAGTCCATCGAAAAGACAAAGTGTTTCTAGAAAATGGTTACAGTTTTTACAGTGAGTATCTAGTTTTAATCATCCTTATCAAATTTGAAGACTTTTATCGAAAATTCGTCGAGAATTTTCTAATAATTTCACTTTTCTCAATTTCATTCGCAAAGTTAGTTCTATTTTAGTCAATGGTGTAATAATGAATTCGAAATCAATCAATAGGTAACATTATTTATTTTGTGTGATTTGTATCTAAATGTGAAATGATTTAGCACACATTAATAATGTAGATAACAGGAAACTAAATACACCTAAAGACAAATAATGATTTTACAAAAATTGTACGGCGCAAATTATTACCTCTAATGAAATATTTCTGAATGGTTCCTTTTGCCATTTGAACTTTTTATCTTGTTGCATTGTTGTATCAAACTAATTTAAGTAATGAGCAATGTCATTACATTAGGTTATCTGTCTGATGTTTACTTTTTAGTTACACTCAAGCTGTTAAAAAGCTCAACCAATATTATGTTAAATGATAAAATGTAATGTGCAATGCATGTGTTTGGTCGTTATTTAGTGCTTTATGCAATTTTGAAGATGTAAGTCACCTTTTAAAATTAGTATATTTTTTTAAAGAATCCCTACAGTGATTATTTGTTTCTTGCATTTTTGGAAAATATTTGCACAAATTTTGGAGATATTTTCATTGTTTTTACATTTATCTTATTGAAATATTTACAAAAGCTAAATGCACTATTGTCTTTCCTTGTTCATATTTTTTTTTTTATCGTTTTCATTATTTTTGTCATATGAATTAGATTCTATTTTTCCTCGTATTTTTCTGAAACAGGAATAAGACACACTATCTATATATATATATATATGTTGAAAATTTTTTTGTGGGGATGCAGCCAAATTAAAAGAAAAAAAAAAAAACTCTTTTTTCTTCATAAAAGCTTTCGCTATATTTTTATAGCTTCCTCAGTTATGAGAAGGTGAGTTCTAATACATGATCTTCTTTATATAATTTTGGAGAAACATCTAAATTTTTAAAATGTTGACAGAATGTTGGCCGCATCCCCACAAAAAAATTTTCAACATTTATATTTCGAGCCACAAAAAACATTTTCCTAAATATATATATTTTTTAAATTCCTTACAAAACAATTTCACAAACGAAAGAAAAAAAATAGAAAATAAATAACTAATAAAAATACAAAACTGTTACCTACTTAAGTAAATGCATGTACCAATTAAAATTCGTATAAGGATCTCTGAAACTCACATCAAAAACAATAGATTACAGCACTGTTAAAAATAGCTTTTTGGTTATTAACATAACATTTATTGATTTTCCATACCTATCTTAAGTATTAATTATTATTTTTCGAGCGGTATTAGCGTCTGTTTGCGATGCGTTACGTTATTTTCAGCGCTAACGTTAACAGAATTTGTATTTCTGTTTTACGATGTTTTTTTATTACCTGTTATTTTATTTGGTTTTAATGTTTTGTTTGTTTCAATTTAGCACGAGCAGAATAATACTTGTACATTACCTAAAAACTGTCAGCTTATTTTCGAATTTTATGAGTAGGTAGGTTAATAAACAAAACTCAAGTACAAAACTGATATTAAATTAGGGAATTATTGAAATACGGCCGCAGTTGACTGTGCCGCTTTAGTGCCGACCCAAAATTGACTGTGGCAGGCGCTATTTTGGCTCACAAAAGGAATTATTGAACGACACATTGAATTCGGCAGTGGTGAACTTTGGCAGTGGCATGTCATGCTTTATTTTCATATTCCTAACCTTAAATTGCAAAGTGTAAATACGTGTTTGGTGTTTTTCTTAGTGATTCTTCTTGTAGTTTTTATATTTTATAATGCAGGATATTGGAGGCCGTATTATTAGGTAGACCACATTTCAAGGGACGAGAATGATGGGGCCCCGTGGTCATTGAAACGAAGTATTTGTGATTTTAAACTGTCTTTCCCTTCATAAGAGCCCATTCTAATGAAAAAATCCAACACATACAATCAACAGAACAGGCAAATCGGCAAAAAACCTATAAAAACAGAACACCAAACACCGTTAAGAAGCCACTAACCTGTCACTGGAAATTGAAGAAATAGGTTTGGTCGGACTTCGTTTAAAATCAGTTCAGAATTGAACTGCGCTTGCGCATTTATTCATATCGTACATATGTAAACCAATGCGCAAGCGCAGTTCAATTCAGAACTGATTCTAAACTAAATCTGAACAAACCAATAAATGTAAATTAATAAAAAAGTTACGTCAACATTTGAATAAGCCTTGACGGACGTCAACTTAAAAAAAAAGAAGAGACATAGGGACGTGACTGTGCCTGTTTATGGCCTGTTTTTATTTTCCACAAATAGTGAAAGGCACAAACTTTATTAGTGGCGGCACTAAAAATTAACAGTACTGCCACAACGCGCACGTCTCAAAAACTTCAAAATATTGCCTAGCGCTATTAGTGCCTGGCATTTCATACTCTTCAATAATTCCCTATTATTTAAAAAAAAAATACAATATTTATATTAACTACTGTACAAATTAAACAAATTCAAAATCGCTTGTTTGTAGACAAAAACTCTCTAAATTGTTTATCAATGCTTTCGTCAACAATTATCTCTCTTATCACTGTGAATGAGGTTCAGTTTCTCAGTTGTACCTATGGCCTGATGACTTTTTCCTGTCCGATGTGTAAAAACAAAAACTTATCTCAATTTTTTTTGTTGACAGCTCAATGTAGGAATTGCATAGAGGTACCATTAGAATGCAGTTGAATGTTTTGAAAAATGTGTGAGTGCTGTAGTAGTGCAATAATTGAGTATTGAAAGCTTTGATTGAATATCGATCGCCGAAATATGGGACATCGCAAAGAGAATCTTAAAATTAGATCTTGGCCTCTCAAACGACAATCTGTAAACGGGTATGTAATTTATAACTTATTATTTGAGGGGATGTTTTGTTTTTTTGGTTTGAACATATTTTTCATGTAATGTTATAAAGGTTTATTTATTGAATAAAATACATAGGTAGTTATACTAACAAAATATAATATGTATTTGTACAGGGCACTACAGGGTGTTGGGATATGAAGTAACCAATAGTTGACTCCTCTATAACAAGGGCCTGAAACAGACCTAAATTGAAAAACCAACGAATTTGAAAAAAGCCTTATCTTATTGTGTATCGTGGTAGATTGTGAAATATGCCATGCAGAAGAAAATCAAATTAAATTTCACTCATTACCGAAATCTACAGGATGTTTAGACTGTGTAGCCATCGTAAAATTTACTGTAAAAACTTCTTATTGCTTCTAATTTAGAAAGAAAAAAAAGATCAAAACTCCACTGAACACCCACTCTGAAATTAATTCAACCATCACTTAGTTCAAAGATGATAAAACAATAGTTAGTGGTATCGTCAGGGCAGAACAAACACATCATCGATATACTTACTACAGAAAAAAAAAACAATAATTATTGTAAATTATCATGATGGTGTTGATAACGCAAACAAAAGATGGTTGAGGAACGATTATAGCGCAATATCCCACTAATTTATTATTGTGAAAGGCTCATTAGTCATTACATTCCAATGTGTAGATTTTTCAGATATAGGTAGTCAAATTCCTCTTTGCTATCTGAATGAACTAGCGTTTGTTCCCAATTTGTTTAATTTAGTATGAGGAAAAGAAAATTTGAAAATGTTTCAAATGCAGCTTTTGAAGAGAAGATTAATGATTTTTTTTTTCTCTTTGTTACAGGGAGGTCTACAACGCAATATGTTTGAGACTCGGAGATACTTTACACATACCAGAGGACTCGGTGAAGGTGTTGTTCAATGACATGCACCTGTTCCCTTCTGACACGCAAGGTAGGTCATATCTGAACTATACTTAAAGCTATTTCACAGCCAGACAGCACACACTATGTCCACCTACGTCATTCAAGACGTCTGGCTGCCATATGTGTATCATCCGTGCTACACACAATCATATTCACCACAGGCCGTGTGTTGCACATTGGCAACACACGCAGCACACATTTTGAATTAGCGTAATTTCTGTCGGCTTGCATTCTATGTTTTGTTATTTGAATGGTGGCCTACCAATAATATAAGCTTCAACTTTCTGTAATTGGTTGGCGGATTGTGTCAATATGGGCTACTGTAGTGGAGCGTGGAGCGTCTACAGGGAGACCGAAAAACCGCAATGAAAAATTCTAAATTTGTGTCCACATATGGCGAGAAATTTAATTGCTTTTGGCTTACCGTGTTCCACCAAGACGCACTAAAACAAACATGTTATTATATTCTTTCATTTTGATCACCAGGGTTACACATATGGCACATATAAGCTATCCATATTATTTGTATGCATTCTTTTACATTGATCACCGGTGCTACATATGGCACATAAGCTATCCATATTATTTGTATGCCATGTGTATCGTGTATCAGCATTCATCAGTGTAACACAGTGTTTATTTGAAAAAAAAAATTTGTTTTTTTATTTCTTTCACAATAGAAAGTATACTTATCTAAATAATATTCTGAGCTTTATTCATCATGACGCCTTAAGGAGTTATCTACCTCCCTTATGGCGCCAGCCAACGTGTTAAAGACGTCGTAGGTATTCAGACGTCTGCCTAAAGACGTCTTCAGGACTAATATTTCATTATTATTACTCATTTTTTAACTTTCAATTTTTGTCTATTCCAAACGCTAGGTTCTTGAATTTTTTATTTTTTTTAAAGGAAAACATGCACAAAACTCCTTTTTCAAGAGCCAGGAGTAAAAATTAAAAAAAAAAACAAATCAAGAGCCTGAAATTCTAAAATACGGGAATAATGAGAATTCAAGAACTTTAATTAAGAAAATTAAGAATTAAGAATAAAGAAATAAGGGAAAATCAAGAGCCTGGAATAGGACAAATTATGAAAATTCAAGAATTTGAATTGAGACAAATACATTTTCTTGCTAATATTTCCTTATTATTACTCATTTTATAACTTTCAATTTTTGTCTATTCAAGGCACTAGGCTGCCTGGAATAATTCTGAGGGTTTCAAATTGTTCTAAAGCTTTTCAAAATGCTGTTGAAAAGTGTTTTGGAACATTCAAATGGCTTATTGAAGTTCTAAAGTGTTCTTACTTGGCTTAAAGAGTTCTGGAGCATTTTAGAGGTTTTTCAGTAATTCCTAAATTGTTCTAACAGATTTTAAAGTATTTCAGAGCTCTATATTGAAGCTCCAAAGTGTTCTAAATTGGTTCAAAATGGTTCTAAAAGGTTTTCATTACTAAATTGATTTCTATAATTGTTCCAAATTGTTCTAAAGTTTCTAAATTGATCCAAAGTGCCTCCTGAAAATTCTGATTTGGATTTGAACTGTTTTGGATGCTTATTAGAGGTCTAAAGTTCTACAGCAATCTAAATTCGCTCTTAGGAGCCTTCTGAAAGGCGTTTTGTAACTTTTATCAACGCTTTTAACCTGAATCCCAAGATTCTCTTTTCAAAATGTTTCTGGAGATTCTAGGGTGTTTGAGTGTTTTGGAGCGTCCTAAAATGGGTTTCAAATTTCTGAATTGTTCTAAAATGCTTTTGGAAATTGTAAATTGGTTTTTGAATATTTTGAGGCATTCTAAAATGGTTCTGAAATTTCCAAAATGTTCTGAAGCGCTGCAGAATGCTTCTAGAACTTCTGAATTGAATTTTAATCATATTATGTTTTGAACTTTCCAAAAGGCTTATCAGAGTTCTAAAGTGTTCTGTAGCTTTCTAAATGGTTTCCAGTAATTTCTAAATTGAATTTAATTCTGTGGGAAATTTTTGTAGACATCTTAAAGACGTCCCTAAGATTTCCACAAACGACATTCAAGACGTCTTGCTTACGTCTTTAAGGCGTGTAGAAGATATCTTAAAGACGTCTTATGCTACAAAACCCAACGTCTTCCAGACGTCTGCCTAAACATAGGGCTAAGGGCCGGTATTATAAAACACTGAACTGATGGTTGAGTTTCAACCTTCGGTTGAATCCTATCAATTTGCATGGAGTCAACCGAAGGTTGAAACTCAACTATCGGTTCAGTGTTTTATAATACGGGCCATAAGACATTCTGAAGACGTCTTCAACGCGATGTCTTAGAGAATAAGTCTTTGAATCTTTTTTTAATACATAAACCATTATTCACTTTAGGCTCGGTAGTACCAAGTTAAAATTGAAATGATAGGTCTGTCAAACAGATAGCAACGTCAATAATCCTTGCTTGTTAACTATAAACTTGGCTCCTTAGATCATTTGAGATCGGTCATGGCCTAATACGTTAGTCATCACAATTATGGTTATTGTCAAATGGCATCATCATCCTTTCTCCCATATTCGTTGACTTCAGATTTGTTTCTTCCGAAGCTCTTTTGCCAATTGACTAATCATCAATCGGCTCTTTATCAAAACTATTGGAAATGAAAACGATGTCATCGTCAAACTGTAAATGACTTGTGTAGGTTTTTGAATACTTCCTCCATTATCAGCCTGATATCAAATCTCCCCGCAATGTCTGACTTGTCTCGAAAATGGAACTCATTGGTGTTCTCTTCCAGCTGTACTGTAAGTGTGACATTTCTGCAGATGTTATGAATAAGCTATATCGCGACGTGAGTCAATTAAAAAGTCGTTCATTGTTCTGTCTATGGCCCATAGTTCAATCTTATAGAGTATGTACGTATCCTCATTCTATGAAAATTTTGATGGTGAGATGGTCAGAAGTACTAAAACCATGGCGGATTCCTGCCTGTTCAATGAGTTTTGTAGCTCTTCATTTCAGGTGATAAGTGAAAAGCGCTTGGTATGTGTATGTGTGTGTTGAAGGTATCAGTTGCACCACGACCAAGGTTGATCTATTGTACCCTTTCTTCTGCTGCTAAGTTCGGGTTTCCTGCTCAAAGCAGCCCCTCCAGTCCCAGGTCCTTTAGGAATCTTAGGATATCTAGGCATCTAGCGGTTCCAGGGCTGGAATGTCTTCCAACTGAATAAGGGTACTTTCCAGGTTCTTCATCCTTGAGCGACTTACGGGCATCGCAGTTCAGTAGGAGATGGTGAGGCGCCTCTTCTCCGTCTCCACGGAATCTGCAGGTACGTGCCACCTTCTTCTAACCCCAACTTCTGTAGGTGTATCTTGAGTCTGCAATATCCCGAGAGAAACCCGGTTAGAGTCCTGAGACTTTTCTTGCTAAGGTTGACCAGCAGTTCTGATAATTTTTGGTTGAAGTTGCCCAATATATCTTTGGCCTGTCGTAGTCCTGGCTGTTCTAGCCATTGTTTGTTCCTTAGCCGGTTCTCTTTTTTTTTGAGGATTTCTTTGAGGTACGTATTTCCGACGCCGCAAAATGGTTCTGGCCCTGTGAAGAGAGTAGACGCTCCCGTTCTTGCGAGTCTGTCTGCGCATTCGTTACACTCGACACCTATGCTGTCCGGGCACCCAGAGGAGGGTTACTTTATTTTCTTTTCCCAGTTCATTTAGTTCCTGTAGACATTCCCATACTGCCTTAGAATTGATGTTCGGGGATCTGGGGCTGCTCTCATAGCTGCTTAATTGACTGACAAACATTATTACAATCGCTCGTTTCCGATAACTTGTGTTCAGGTTGAACTGCACGCATATTCTGATCGCATGAATTTCCGCTTAAGATATGCTTGGTGACTTCCCCATTGGCTCCGAGTATCTGGTCCATGGCCCGAATACTCCGGCTCCAGTTCCCTCAGCATTTTTGGAACCGTCTGTGTACCATTTGATGGTGTTTGCTTTAAGGGATTGGATAGATTCCATGGTCCATTTGTTTCTTGTACATAGTTCGATGGAAAAGTTTTTCTCGAAACTGAATTTATCAACAATCACGTCTTTTGGTAGATTCATGAGGTGTGCACAGTTTGGGAGAGGAAACGTTCTACCAAGGTACGTTTTCCTTTATGAACCTATCTTCTCCATTCTGAGACATGATCCACTGGCAACCCGCTTCACTATTATTTGGAGTGGTGTGAGGTCTAGAGTGACTTCTAGTCTAGTGCCACGGTTGGGCATGGATCTCATTGCTCCTGTTATACAGAAACACGCGAGACTTTGCACTTTTCCTAGGGTTTTCCTAGCTGTTACTAGTGGGTTCGGCTATACCAGGCTACCGCTCCGTAGGTGATGATATATAGGTCTCACTATCATGGTATACATCTTAGGATTGATAAGTTACAACCCCATGTTTTATCCGCAATGTTTTTGCAGACAAGGAGTACCGAAATTGATTTGTTTTTTGTGTTCTCTACACGTCGGTTTCAGAGAAGTTTAGAATCTAGGATTATTCCTAGGAATTTAACTTCTTTTTTCCAATCAAGTCTGCTTCCATCGAGGCGAATGTTTATTGGTGGTTGGTAATGATTTGCATGAATACCTTTCTTGCTTATGTTCACCTGTGTTATGGAGTAGAACTACGAGACTATTAGTCCTCTTCCTTCTTTCGACATCTTACCTCTCACTCTTCTTTGGTTGAATGGTTGTTTTTTTTTGGATCGTTCCTTGATGGTTGGTTTCTCGATTTCAAATTCTTTGATATCTGATATATCTTCGAAACCGAATTTTTCTTGTTTTCGAAGCGATTTTATTCCTGTTCATATTTCTTCTGTTTCATTTTTATTTGGTGAGTACCAAGTCTTGGCTTAGTCATTTTGGCAATTAAGTATTCTCTGTAATTCTTTCTGCCATTGCTCCGTTGTTTTTCTTTATGACTTCTATGAGAGTGATATGTATTATTTCATGATATCTCTATACTCCGTTGAGTTTCGTTTCCCATCGCTTAAAAGGCTAGGTACTTAATTCTTTATCGCGTCA